TAATGCTCTATAACCAGATTCTTGCGTCATCGTCTGACTGACACATCTGCCGACCAAGGCAAGGATTTGTCCCCATCAGTACCCGTACACTAGTGGTATCATTCATGTTTCACACATGTTTGCCTGTATCCGCTTCTCCGGTGAGTCTAGTCTTGAAACGGATTGACCAATAAAACATGACCTACCTGTACATTTAAACAATTGACGAGGAGACAATAGTCGTAAAATGGCAATAAATAAGATAAATTGTGCACTCATAACAACAGTAAAAATGAAGAAAGTCAAGTTCCATAACGTTTTCTTGTGACTGTCATCAGTGGAACGCCGTCACATAAAACTATATTAGCTACATGTGTACATGTATAAGTGTGTGTTTTAGTTATTACATTTTTATGTGACGGCGTTCCACTGATGACAGTCACAAGAAAACGTTATGGAACTTGACTTTCTTCATTTTTACTGTTGTTATGAGTGCACAATTTATCTCATTTATTGCCATTTTTCCTGTACATTGTTTGTGATTTCTGGGCAGGCAGAACATGCTTATCGTTACATGTATCAACCCCAACCTTGAGTATAGTAGAGCAAGCAGACTGTGTCTAGGGTCCAGCGGATTCTGCCGGCAGAAAAATTGGCAGAATTCGGTACTTTTTCTGGTAAGTGTCATGCATGTTTGGTATGTGGATAAAGAAATGGAGCAGAATTCGGGGCCCGCCACAAGGTTTGTACATGTATGGATTATGGTTCTGCCAATTTTACTGCATTTTCGAGCAGAATCTGCCACCTTTTCGAGCAGAATCCGCCGGTCCCTAACTGTGTCTCATGTTCGAAGACATACACGCTCTCCTTTTCGACTTACGGCTATCTGCATCACATGATCTCAAGCAGGCTCGAACGTTGAAGAAGGTGTACGGCTGACCTGTGAACGATTCCAAGTTCCAACACCTGAGAAACAAATAAATATCCTCCACATTATTACTTTGTCTATACTGTAGAGCTTTTTTCCATTCTGTCCTCATGATTTGACTTGTTCGGAGAGGCACAAGCTACTTACTATTCGCCGAAGCAGCTAACACTATTTCTCGAGTAATCAATGATTATGTGAAGCATGCAGGATGGCATCATTCGCATGATTTCCATGGCCATTCCAGGACGGCAAACTCAGAAGCCAGGACCTTCCACCTGGTCCTGGATTTAACCACATGCACATGTACATGTACTTGAACGGACCACACACAATACAGGTGGTCGAGGGCGAGACCTTGCCCTAGGGACGGCAAGTATTCCGTTTGAAACCCTGGAGTGTTACAGTACGTGCCATGGGCAATGCATGATAACTGATTGTCGAATACGCTGTACATGTATCAGAACTTGGAATGTCTAGAGATCAGGCTTGAGATCGTATGAAAATGGCTGAATGCTCTTCTATTACCATGTTGACCAATGCAGCCAGGCGCACATTTTATCTCTCTTTTGTCCAGTGTAGATCTACACTGGAATATGCAAGCAATGTTTACATGTACATGTACATGTATGTACACAGTCTGCGACAACATGAATATGATTTTCTCACCCGCATCTCTCGCCGTTCATTGCGTACTGTATTCCGCTACCCACCCACCGCAGATGTTCAGTGTATTCTGTCTCGAAACAACCTCACACCCATCACTATCCGTTTCTCCCTTAGGCCGCGGTCTCACCAAGTTCAGCCGTTTTTGGCTTGCGCTGAAAGTGGCTTGCGACTAGCCAGCTGACGGTCACACCAAAACTGGATGACGCGGGCATCGCTATAATAATTATGTATTTTATTTTGTACAATGGTGATGATCCGAATAATTTCCCCTGAGAATCACCTCACTTTGCCGATGATGACAAATACCAGGCTTTGTCGCCGGAGGAAGCGACACGTTTTCGACTTTGTTGATGAAGACGATACTGAGGAGGCCCTCCCGGCCCCGGCTTCATTCGCAGCAAACTTTTTCAGTTCTACGAAGATCCAGGCCGGCTCGTTTGCTCGTATCCTTTTTCATAGTCGTCTCGTATCGCGTTTTTGCTTCGTACCACAGCTCGAGCAATCGGCGCTCCAGTCCCACGCTCCAACTATCCATGGCTGTCAACGAAAACCTTCAAACACTTCACACAACTACAATACAAGAGAAGAAGAAACTATCTGACTACAACAAACGTCAACTCAAGTTCTTCAACTCCTCTTGCACTCTTGCACTTCAGCCAAAATTATTCAGCCACTTTCAGCTTTTCAGCGCTTCCAAAAGGGCTTTTTTTTTCAGCGCTTCCAAAAGGGCTGAAAGCTGAAAGTCGCTGGTGCCCCGATTTTCAGCCGTTTCCGTGGAAACCTCAGCCGAAAAAAGCGCTTTTTGGCTGAACGGCTGAATCGGGCTCGGTGCAAGCTGCATCTTCTTGTATTCAGATGCGTTCGTTCTTCTGCCAGTTCATTTCTGTGCCGCCTTTTCTGCCTTCGTGCCAATTCGGAGGCACGTAGCCGCACCTGCACAAGGTCTCAAGTCTCGCTTGGACTTGTACTGCCACGAGCCTCCTCTCGATTTGGCTATTCCTCTCTTTCTTATCTAGCCGCCGACCGCTGGAACTCAGTTCCGGCATCGGTCCGCCTTGCTGCTTCACCAAGTCAATTTCGTATCGCAATCCTAGATTGGCTATGGTAGTACCCCGTAAGGAGACCATCTCTGTGGGGACTGCCCTAGAGAAATATGAATAAATACAATACTACTACTAATATTACGCGTTCTCTGGTAACGTTATTGGACTGTGCCCTCGTGCATGGTCTGTACACTGGTTGGATCCTGGACCATAGATATGGCACATTCATGGACATAATCATTGCTCCATCAGTAGCTTAATGACGCTCAACGTAAGACTCCACCCTTCAAGTAAGCGTCAATGATGACAGCCTGCAATATTTGCAGCATACAGTGTGATCGGCCGCTTGCGTCAGTTGCCATATCATGGCATATGTCGTCGCCCACAGCACATCTGTCATGACCGGGGAGTGGGCCAGACATACTCTCAGGATTCTACAATTCCAGGTTCTTTATGGAAATACTTCAAAAAATACCAGGAGTCCAGACACCCATTCTTCACCCTCACCACACAAGAAGACCAAAGCTTCACTCTAGGACCAAGTAGTTCCAAGCTCAAACAACAGACAAGCAGCAACAACAACCAGCGATCGACGCAAAGCATCGAGCTATACTCTACAGTACAGTACAAGTACGAGTAGCGTGCACGGAGCGAAGCGAACGAGCGAGCAGCCAGCAAAGCATGGATAGTGATAGGTTTCACAACACTATTGACGAGTATAGACCGATCCCCTTATTATTGTCTGGGTTCGAGCAAGGGGGCAACTCCGCAGTCGCGTGGGATCCTGCTGCACACACGCGACCAACCTCACCTCGGCTGTGCGTGACTTCTCGCATGCGAAGTGCAGAGCACGCGAAATCTACACGCAGTGCAAGCCTGTCTACAAAAATGCCACAAGGACTTTTGATTTGAGCTGTTTTGTTTTTGTTTAGACGTCTTCCTTTTTACGACTTCAGGATGCCTTCTCAGGATCATTGCTGCGTTCCTCACTGTCAGAACAGGAGGACGAAGCAAACAAGTCAGTTCACTCCTTTCCTCGTGTGGAGCCACAGCGGCCTGGAGCAAGCGGATCCAGGCTATTCCCCGTGAGGAAGGACGTAGTTTTAGGGTCACTCTGAATATTTGAGTTGCAGCGATCATTTCGATCCCGAAGTCGAAATCGTTTTGCCCAGCTCTACAAGGGCAGGATGAGTCCAGGAAACCAAACAGCTGTCCTACGGTACCAGGTTTGCTTTTCGCAAGAGAGTGGAGTCTGGACGCTCTGCTCCCCATGCTCGCAAAACATGAGCCTAGTGCAGTTCGGTCATGGAAGTGCAGCGTCTGCATCACGAGCTCCCCATGCTCGCAAACCAGTATTTTGCTGAGAGGCAACGGCATTTTGAGTTGGAAAGGAACCTGGCTTAGTGCAGTTTGGTCCTGTAATGGAAGTGCAGCATCTGCATCAGGAGTTGGCAGCAAGTAGAGCTCGTGTACAGAGTCTCGTGGAGCAGTTGGACGATGGGGTGAAGAAAGCCGAAAAACAGCTTACGTACAATAACATAAAGAAAGACTCTGAGCCGCTCCAGTTTCTGACTGGTTTGCCTTCAGGTGTTTGGACCGCTCTGTGGGACTTTTTCGAGCCTAGCCGAGAAAACGTACTGCGCCGAGCCAGATCTGCGAAGACGGAAGCTGAGGGACGGCGGATACAGTTGGAGGTGGCCGTAAATCGCCAATGAGCATGTAATGGAGGATCAGCTGCTATTGGCATTGATGTGTCTAAGCCTGGGCCGAATGGAACAGAAGCTGTCATGCGTGGCACAAGTTGATCATCCGTTTCACGGTATATAGCTAGCTGAGCTGGAAAGATGTCTTGTTCCTCCGTTTGGGCATGATCCCCATTTGGGCGAGCTGGCGAGGTGTTCAGTCATCAATGCCATGTACCGCAAGACATTCTACATTGTGGATGAAACAGTTCTATTTTGCCATGCACTTAGGGTTCTCGCACCGGCACAACAAGACCCAACAGATCCTTGCACTCTTATTTTCTCCCATGGTAACATTGCTGATCACAACACCCGGTAGCCAGTCGCAGATGCAACCAAATCAACCAGGTTCTCTTACTCTTTTTTTCCAATACTGAAACCAAAGGTATACCAATATTTGCATCGAATGCAGTGATGATTTCAATGCTGTCCACTAGTACAACGCATCACCAGACTGGCATATAATCATGATAATATTATCCATTTCGCAACCACTGTCATTGCTTTCTTAGATCTTCAATTATCAATTTCGGACCATAAACCGTCTATCATCTTATATTATATCATCATTAGTATCCTGCTACTATCCTCCTCTAACGATGAGCTCGAAGAAAAGAAACAGCGGTCTAGAGGCGTAAACAATATCTGTCAACGGAAGTGTCCTTGCTGTGCTGGTGTGTTTATGCTTCGTGCATTAGTTCGGCCAAGAGCGCATGGTGGTGGCGGGTTGAGGATGTTAAATATACTAGAAAATAGTTCACTCTGAACATGCAGGGGGTATATTCATAGGTTCGAAAGAACCGCACACACACTTTGCTGCAGACAGCGGCAAGCTTTAGCCCTCGTGCTTCAAAGAGAGAGCAATCCACTGCGCTACGCTTGCGATTAAAAGCAAGCTTCGACTTTTCAAAGGTACGACTCATCATTGGCTCTGGGGTAATGTTCCTGGAACAAATGCCCCATTGCCAACTGAGGGCCAGGGAGCACGCAATCTGCCTTCCTGGGCGAGAAGTGTTCCAGCACAAGAAGCAGCACGAATACATGCTGACAAAGACCACCATCACCACCAGCCGGCACACAGCACACTGTTCTTCAAACACCATCCACTCCGTCCATGTGTTTGCACTGTCCTCCTCTAGCTCTTCACGCTCAACAAATACCACGCACTGCTCATCGTTTTTTTATGCTTCCTCTGGGTTGGCTAGCCCTTCGACTTGACAAAACAGCGATCACCACTGCACTGCTATCGTCACCCCATAGCAGTCGCTTCCGCCAGTGGCTTTTCCTATCTTTGCAAGGTGTCCAAGGATGGCTGCTGTTGTCACTACAGGCAAATCAGAAGTACTTTAGTGGCTGATGTCCAAGCAGATCGTTGGAAAATCGATTTTTCCACTTCAGGGCTGCTGATCGCGACTTGGTGACTTGGCAGCACCACGGTTACCTTCATAGAAGATGGCTCTGGAGAGGAAAAGACAGACCAGAAAAAGGTTACTATTATCTTCAGCACCGATCGCAAGGAGAAAGAAATATGGTCTACTGTACCCTAGGCACAAAATAAATCTCACAACACGATTCGCGATTCGAATATTTCAACAACAAAAAACTCACCTCTGGAGTAACTCCTGTTTGTGGCCCGAGATCGTTCCCTCCCGCGCCTTGAAAAAATCCTGCAGCGGCCTCACAGTCCATGTCTCTCTCGGAGACTCTGCTCCTACCAGCAGGAGGTTTAGCACCGCTCGAAGCCATCGCAAACTACTTGAACTAAGCAGAAGACATTCCAAAACAAACCTGAAACACACTGTCAAAGATGCTGTCACGTTCAAAAACTAGCTCGATCGCGAGTGAGGTTGCCCCCGTGCTCGAACCCAGTATAATAAGGGGATCGGTCTATTGTATTGATCGACGAGACACATCGCCGCCACGGCAAACACTTGATGTATGGAATCAAGCAAGAGTACGCGTGTGAGATCGCCCTAATCACAGCCCGCCGCGCGAAGCGCGAAGGGCTGTGATGCAGGCTGATCGAGCACGAGTACGAGTGTTTTGATTGCATTTCTGACATGCACCCACGCTTGAAACTCATATCAAAGCCCGCTCCACTAGGGCTTTGATTCACTGATCAAGCTCGCTTTTTTTTTACTCGACTCGGGCTCGAGAAGGCTGAGAGTCGTGCTTTCAAGCGCGATAGGAAGATCGAAGTGCGTGTTCTTGTCAGAAATCCAATCAAAACAGTCGTGTTCATGTTCTATCAGCCAATCACAGCCCTTCGCGAAGTATTTACAAGTCCGATGTATGGAATCGAGCATGAGTACGAGGACGAAAGTGCGGAATCGGAGCCCGACGCGCGCTAGCGCGGAGGGCTCCGATTCTAGCACTTGAGTCCGAGTACGAATGCTTTGATACCATTTCTGACATGCATTGCACGAACTACTTCGTACTACTAGTACTACTACATGTAGTACTTCACACATACCTAGTACCTACTCAAGGCACGCACACTAGACCAGACAAGGAACACAACTAGTCGCCAGTTTAGTACTTCAGACATGTTACATAATGACTAATGTACACAGTCACAACACAGAGATAAAACAAGGGCGGTCTAGTCAGCTAAAAACCAGGTCAGTTCAGCTTCTCTTCTTCGCAGTGACTACAGCCTACAGCCTACAGGTGCAGGTGAACATTGCAGTTTGCACCAAACTGAGCTCCGGAAAAGTTGATGGTCTTCGTAGCTTTCTGCATCAGAGACCGTTGGTGAGTTGGGGATTGCACTGTTGGGTCACAAGTTGCGATGTACTCATCAATGTCGGGATCGTGGAACTCAGTCTGCTGCTGTGATCGCTGAACGCTCGTTGTTGGCGCTGTAAGAGCACGGGTAGCAGCATTGGTTGCAGTTGGAGACTCTCCATCCAGAACTGCAGCCATCTCTTTTCTCTTTTGAAAAAAAAAAAAAAAAAAAAAGCGGCCTCTGATGGCTGAATCGGAGCACGCCTAGGCGTGCTCCGATTCAATCGGAGCACGCCTGGGCGTGCTCCGATTGGAAAATCGGAGACGCGCAAGCGCTCACAGGTCTTCAGTGGCTGATTCAAAGCACGGCAAGTCGCGCTAGGATTCGCTGTTGCCATGTCGATTGTCATGTGACATGTCAGAACGTAAAATCAAAGCCCGCCTGGGCGGGCTTTGATGGGAAAATCAAAGCCCGCTCCACTAAATATGGAGTTCTACTTCTTGTAGCATGCTTTGATGGCCTCATCTAGGCCCTGCTAGGTGCAATGCGATTGGTCATCTCCGTGCCTACAGTCTTGTGACATGTCAGAAGTATGGAATCAAGCAAAAGTACGAGTGTGAGATCGCCTAATCACAGCCCGCCGCGCGAAGCGCGAAGGGCTGTGATGCAGGCTGATCGAGCACGAGTGCGAGTGTTTTGATTGCATTTCTGACATGCACCCGCGCTTGAAACTCATATCGAACTTGTAAATACTTCGCGAAGAGCTGTGATTGGCTGATAGAACATGAACACGACTGTTTTGATTGGATTTCTGACAAGAACGTGCACTTCGATCTTCCTATCGTGCTTGAAAGCACGACTCTCAGCCTTCTCGAGCCCGAGTCGAGTAAAAAAAAAGCGAGCTTGATCAGTGAATCCAAGTCCTAGTGGAGCGGGCTTTGATCGTAAAATCAAAGCCCGCCTGGGCGGGCTTTGATGGGAAAATCAAAGCCCGCTCCACTAAATATGGAGTTCTACTTCTTGTAGCATGCTTTGATGGCCTCTTCTGACATGTCACAAGACTGTAGGCACGGAGATGACCAATCGCATTGCACCTAGCAGGGCCTAGATGAGGCGATCAAAGCATGCTACAAGAAGTAGAACTCCATATTTAGTGGAGCGGGCTTTGATTTTCCCATCAAAGCCCGCCCAGGCGGGCTTTGATTTTACGATCAAAGCCCGCTCCACTAGGGCTTTGATTCACTGATCAAGCTCGCTTTTTTTTTACTCGACTCGGGCTCGAGAAGGCTGAGAGTCGTGCTTTCAAGCGAAATAGGAAGATCGAAGTGCGTGTTCATGTCAGAAATCCAATCAAAACAGTCGTGTTCATGCTCTATCAGCCAATCACAGCCCTTCGCGAAGTATTTACAAGTTCGATATGAGTTTCAAGCGTGGGTGCATGTCAGAAATGCAATCAAAACACTCGTACTCGTGCTCGATCAGCCTGCATCACAGCCCTTCGCGCTTCGCGCGGCGGGCTGTGATTAGGCGATCTCACACTCGTACTCTTGCTTGATTCCATACATCTAGGCCCTGCTAGGTGCAATGCGATTGGTCATCTCCGTGCCTACAGTCTTGTGACATGTCAGAAAAAGAATTAAAGATACGGGTAGGAGCACATGTACACGGACACGACACATCTACATGTACATCTACAACATGTACTGTTGTAAACCACCAGTTCTCAATTATTGGGAAAGGCCTTCGCGCTTATGGCATTTTATTCGTTGAAATGTTGTATTTCGACTCCGCCGTAACGCTGATGTTGCTGCATGGCATACGCTATATTCGTTGTGTGCGTTTTGCTGTATACGCTGTTATGTCCAGTTTTATATGCTTATGTTTTGCATGTACGCTGTTTTTGCATGCTATAAATAGCTGGTGTTATTAGTGTTCATTGTTAATTATCAGATGAAGTGAAATATACTGTGTAAAGGAAAAGAGTTGTCCTCGTGCCGTGTGGTCGTACGATCCTGACGATTTAGAGAATCTTAGAGGGTTCACAACATTTGGCGACCACGCCAGGATAGGAGCGAGCATGGCAGAGCAACTACACAATTTGGAAGCCAGCTTTATCGCCAATGGAGTTCGGTTAGGATTAGAAGGCGAGTTGTTGATGGAACATGTGGAGCAGAGGCTCCAACAGTACGAGGAGCGTGAGGAGCGCAGTGCCAGACGGCGAGAGGAGGCGCTCCGCACCGAGTTTGACAAAACACTAAAGGAGATTAACGAGCGCATCGCCAATGCGTATGAGGGTGATGGTAAAGCCGCGATGGGAGGTACAGAGGAAGCTCCCAGTAACAGCGGGGGGCGTCAACCGTTGATGAAAATCCCCTCATATGATGGAACGCAGCCATTGGAGCGTTATCTTGACCTGTTCGAGGACATCTGCTCCAAGAACGAGTTCGAAGAAAGCGAATGGCTGCTGCGACTGCGCATCGCGCTAGCGGGTAGCAAAGCGGAGAGGATATGTATTGGATGCAATAATTACGAGGAAGCGAAGCGAGAGTTGCTCGCCTCGCTCGGAAAGACTCCGGATAAAGCGTGGAAGACATTGCTGACAGGCAAGCAGCGGTCAGATGAGTCGTTTCACCAATACGTTGTCCGTGTTTGCCGAGAAGTAGAAGTGTGGGCCACACTCGCTATGACAGAAGATGGCGAGGTGGACACCAAGTATAGCGCCGATATAGGTAAAATGTCCCCGGTGCTGCAAGCAATGGCAAAGCAGGTAATCTTGGAGCAATGCGGACCTGAGATGAAGACGTACCTGGTCGAACGGCAGTGCTACGGGATGTCACTGCGCCAGGTACAGGAGCACGGTGCGTCTTACCAGGTCGCGCACGGACGACAGGGTGATACTGCCAGGAAGCCAGTAGAACGATCCGTGCCAAGGCCCACGGCGTCGGCACAGTGCATGGCGATATCGGTCGCAGATGCAGAGAAGCAGCTAAAGTCGCTGCCACTGGAAGGGAGAAAGGGTTTTCTGCAGCGAGAGAGACTCTGCTGGAACTGCCTTAAGTATGGCCATATGGCCAGAGAATGTCGGTCAGGCTCGAGATGCACGAAATGCCAGAGGAAACACCACCTGCTAATACATGAGGTGTTGGATAGAGCAGGTTACAGCCGGGAGAAACCGACTGAGATAGTTACGGAGAAGAATGTTGGGTCGTGCTGTCTACACTCGCCAAGTGTGCGGCTGATGACCGGAGTGGCACGAGTTGAGGGAAGAACTCGAAACGCGAAGGTTCGCGTGTTCCTGGACTCGGGTGCTGAGGCGTCATTCGTGACTGCAGCGTTGGTGTCAGCAATCGATGCAGAACACGTTGGGGTTGAAAATGTAGAGGTGAAGCCGTTCGGCGCGGAACCAACCCAACAGCGCATGGATAAGTACGCCATCACGATCCAGGGTAGCTCCGCTAGCATTCGGGTACGCGCGTTCGTGAAACCAAAGCTTGAGATGGACCTGAAGTGCGCAAGTCCGCAGACCATTGCCCAGTGGCACAGTTGGGGAGTAGAGCTGAGTGACAAGCCTCAACAAGGGACATCAGACGAAATACATATGCTGATTGGTGCAGACTATATCAACGCGGTACTGCACAGCAAGAAGGAAGTTAATGGTGAGACGGTGTGGAACACAGAGATAGGTAATGTATTATCTGGTCCAGCGTCTGCACCAAGTCGAAACAGTCAGCCGGTGACCGTGTCATGTGTCACAGCCCACATTGAACAACTATGGCAGTTGGATGAACCTCCAGAACAACATCAGCACCTGCCATCTTTCCCGCTATGTCGCCAGGGCAGCGGGTACCAAGTGGGTCTCTTGTGGCAAAATGAGCGTCGCCCAACGGATAACTTTGCTCAAGCTAGAGTCATCGCAACGCGGCTTCTTGAAAAGCTGAAGAGGAATGGGAAGCGTGCGCTCTATGATGATGTGCTGATCAGGGAGTACCGCGAGCTTGGAGCCATTGAGCTGGAGCCATGTCAGAGCGATGCCGGGTACTATGTACCGCATCATGGTGTATTCCGCGAGCACGCTGCAACCACGAAGTTAAGAGTGGTGTTCAATGCCTCGGCGACGGCTCCAGATGGCAAGTCGTTGAACGACATGGTTG